TATAATTGTTATATCTTCTTCTTGGATTGTTCACTTGATCATTATGTAGTGTCCTTCCTTGTCTCTTGTAACATTCTTTATTTTAAAGTCTATTTTATCTGATATGAGTATTGCTACTCCAGCTTTCTTTTGATTTCCATTTGCATGGAATATCTTTTTCCATCCCCTCACTTTCATTCTGTATGTGTTGCTAGGTCTAAAGTGGGTCTCTTGTAGACAGCATATAGATGGGTCTTGTTTTTGTATCCATTCAGCAAGCCTGTGTCTTTTGGTTGGAGCATTTAATCCATTCACGTTTAAGGTAATTATCGATATGTATCTTCCTATGACCATTTTCTTAATTGTTTTGGGTTTGTTTTTGTAGGTCCTTTTCTTCTCTTGTGTTTCCCACTTAGAGAATTTCCTTTAGCATTTGTTGTACAGCTGGTTTGGTGGTGCTGAATTCTCTTAGCTTTTGCTTGTCTGTAAAGCTTTTGATTTCTCCATCGAATCTGAATGAGATTCTTGCCGGGTAGAATAATCTTCATTGTAGGTTCTTCCCTTTCATCACTTTAAGTCTATCATGCCACTCCCTTCTGGCTTGTAGAGTTTCTGCTGAGAAATCAGCTGTTAACTTTATGGGAGTTCCCTTGTATGTTATTTGTTGTTTTTCTCTTGCTGCTTTCAATAAGTTTTTCTTTGTCTCTAATTTTTGCCAATTTGATTACTATGTGTCTTGATGTGTTTCTCCTTGAGTTTATCTTGTATGGGACTCTCTGCACTTCCTGGACTTGGGTGGCTATTTCCTTTCCCATGTTAGGGAAGTTTTCGACTATAATCTCTTCAAATATTTTCTCTGGTCTTTTCTCTCTCTGTTCTCCTTCTGGGACCCCTATAACGCGAGTGTTGTTGCATTTAATGTCGCAGAGGTCTCTGAGGCTGTCTTCATTTCTTTTCATTCTTTTTTCTCTATTCTGTTCAGCAGTGAATTCCACCGTTCTGTCTTCCAGATTCCTTATCTGTTCTTCTGCTTTAGTTATTCTGCTGTTGATTCCTTCTAGTGTAGTTTTCATTTCAGTTATTGTATTGTTCATCTCTGTTTGTTTGTTCTTTAATTCTTCTAGATCTTTGTTAAACATTTCTTGCATCTTCTCGATCTTTGCCTCCATCTTTTTCCGAGGTCCTGGATCATCTTCACTATCATTATTCTGAATTATTTTTCTGGAAGGTTGTCTATCTCCACTTCATTTAGTTGTTTTTCTGGGGTTTTATCTTGTTTCTTCATCTGGTACATAGCCCTCTGTCTTTTAATCTTGTCTATCTGTGAATATGTTTTTTGTTCCAGAGGCTGCAGGCCTGTAGTTCTTGCTTCTGCTCTCTGCCCTCTGGTGGATGAGGCTATCTGAGAGGCTTGTGCAGGTTTCCTGATGGGAGGGACTGGTGGTGGGTAGAGCTGACTGTTGCTCTGGTGGGCAGAGCTCAGCAAAACTTTAATCCGATTGACTGCTGATGGGTGGGGCTGGGTTCCCTCCCTGTTGGTTGTTTGGCCTGTCGCAACCCAACACTGGAACCTACTTGGGCTCTTTGGTGGGGCTAATGGTGGACTCTGGGAGGGCTCACGCCGAGGAGTACTACCCAGAACTTCCGCTGCCAGTGTCCTTGTCCCCACGGTGAGCCACAGGCACCCCCAGCCTCTGCAGGAGACCCTCCAACACTAGCAGGTTGGTCTGGTTCAGTCTCCCCTGGGGCCACTGCTTCTTCCCCTGAGTCCCGATGTGCACACTACTTTGTGTGTGCCCTCCAAGAGTGGAGTCTCTGTTTCCCCCAGTCCTGTCGAAGTCCTGCAGTCAAACCCCACTAGCCTTCAACATCTGATTCTCTAGGAATTCTTCCTCCCGTTGCTGGACCCCCAGGTTGGGAAGCCTGACATGGGGCTCAGAACCTTCACTCCAGTGGGTGGACTTCTGTGGTTTAAGTGTTCTCCAGTCTGTGAGTCACCCACCCAGCAGTTATGGAATTTGATTTTACTGTGATTGTGCCCCTCCTACTGTCTCATTGTGGCTTTTCCTTTGTCTTTGGATGTGAGGTATCTTTTTTGGTGAGTTCCAGTGTCTTCCTGTCAATGATTGTCCAGCAGGTAGTTGTGATTCTGGTGTTCTCACAAGAGGGAGTGAGAGCACGTCGTTCTACTCCGCCATCTTGGTTCAGGGCTCTCTATCACTGCTTTCTTTGTTTGTTTGTTTGTTTTTGCGGTACTCGGGCCTCTTGTGGCCTCTCCCGTTGCGGAGCACAGGCTCCGGACGCGCAGGCTCAGCGGCCATGGCTCACGGGCCCAGCCACTCCATGGCATGTGGGATCTTCCCAGAACGGGGCACGAACCCGTGTCCCCTGCATTGGCAGGCGGACTTTCAACCACTGCACCACCAGGGAAGCCCTCTACCACTGTTTTTAATCACAAACACACACCAGTAAAACTCTCATGAGCACACACCTCTAAATGTCCTATTTATAAGTCGTTTATGCATATATTTCTGTACAGTGTATATATGAATTGTAAAGCTTCCAAAGAAGCTTCTAAACTTTTATCATTAATTTTAGTGATGTTAATTTCCGCATCACTGAAAACAGCACAGAATTTCTTCATTTTCTCATTGAATATATGTCTTGCTAATTGTGATGAATTCCTACTTTGAGTTATCATTTAATGATAGTTGACATGCAACCTTGTTTCAGGTAGTCTTGAGAAATTCCCTCTTTTTTTGGCCAACTTCCTGTCAGATATGATAAACTCATTACTATTTCTTTCTCATAATGTGCTGAAGGAAGATTTTTCTACCTAAGAGTAGGAAAAGTGAGAGCTCTGGTTCTTTCTTTTTGCTTACCTGTGCTTTCATTATTGTTATCATCAGTCTACAGTTTCTTAGAGGGAATCTTTTTTGCGGTACATGGGCCTCTCACTGTTGTGGCCTCTCCCGCCTCGGAGCACAGGCTCCGGATGCGCAGGCTTAGGAGCCATGGCTCACGGGCCCAGCCGCTCTGCAGCATGTGGGATCTTCCCGGACCAGGGCATGAACCCGTGTCCCCTGCATCGGCCGGTGGACTCTCAACCACTGCGCCACCAGGGAAGCCCGAGGGAATCTTTTTAAGCTGTTTGTGTATTACACATTAAAATTGGGTAATACATGGGAAGAAATGAACCATGACCCTGCCCTACACCACATACAAAAGTTAATTGCAGATAAGTTATAGTCCTAAATGTGAAAGCTGCAAGAAGAAAATTTCCAAAAGTTAATATATGAAAATATCGTGACCTTAGGCAAAAATTTCTTAAATAGGACACAAAAACACTAATCATTAAAAAAAAATTTTGATAAGTTAGATCCCATTAAAATTAAGAACTTCTTTAATCAAAAAGGAACCAATAGGACTTCCCTGGTGACTCAGTGGTTAAGAATCTGCCTGCTAATGCAGGGGACACAGGTTCGAGCCCTGGTCCTGGAAGATCCTACATGCTGCAGAGCAACTAAGCCCGTGTACCACAACTACTGAGCCTGCTTTCTAGAGCCCGTGAGCCACAGTTGCTGAGCCCTTGTGCCACAGCTACTGAAGCCCATGCGCCTAGAGTCTGTGCTTCGCAACAAGAGAAGCCACTGCACTGAGAAGCCCGTGCACCACAACAAAGAGTAGTCCCCGCTCGCTGCATCTAGAGAAAGCCCGCGCTCAGCAACAAAGACCCAATGCAGCCAAAAATAAATAAATAAAATTTTAAGGAAAATGAAAAAAACTTAAAGCGAAACCAATAAAAAAGTAAAAATGGGGCTTCCCTGGTGGCGCAGTGGTTTGGAGTCCGCCTGCCGATGCAGGGGATACAGGTTCGTGCCCCGGTTCGGGAAGATCCCACATGCTGCGGCGTAGCTGGGCCCGTGAGCCATGGCCACTGAACCTGTGCATCCGGAGCCTGTGCCCCGCAACAGGAGAGGCCACAACAGTGAGAGGCCCGCGTACCGCAAGGAAAAAAAAAAAAAAGCAAAAAGGCAAGTACCAGAAAAGGCTTCATTTCTTGAAAATGGAGTATATATAGAAGCTGTTGCCCTAGCTGTGAGTCTTACCAGTGTTCAGGAATAAGTAGGATCACATGTCTTGCCCTAGAGTGTAAATCTGGTGATGCCAATTTATGACAAAACTTAAGACAGGCCAGTTAGGCACTTGCCTGTGGTTAACATGAACTGTAGAGCCACACAGACCTGCATTCTAATACTCACTCACACTTACGACCTTAGTCTTTCTAAACTGCATCTGTCAAATAGGTATAGGAAGAGGAACTAAACAAAGAGTGGTTGTGAGGCCTGAGATATTGCCCAGGTTTTGGCACTATGCCTAGCACATAGTGAGCCCTCAGCACATGGGAGCTGAGGATTGTTACCCAGGATTGTTAATGGCCACGTGATAAGATGTGTGTTTTCATGATTCCAGGACGGGGCCACAAGGTCACTGACCCAACTCTTTGTATCCCTGACTTTTTCTGACCCTAGGAGAAGGAAGCATTGACCTTTCCTTCATCAGGCCAAAGATGCCTCTCTTTGGGAGGACATTCAGTCCGAAGAAGACACCCCCTCGGAAGTCTGCGTCTCTCTCCAACCTGCATAATGTGAGTGTCAGCACGGGGCTCGACCTGGTGTGCAGCATGACTGGAGCATCGAGCCTGATTTCTTATGGAAAGTGTGGTCCTCCAGAGGTATCCTCGTGGGAGGGCATCCTTTTAATTCATATTATTGCTGAAAACATTTTTAAACTCCTTTTTGGGAATTATTGTCAGAGCTTGTTGAAGAACCTTAAAAGATAGTCATCCTCATTATGATTTTGGGGACCAAATGATGTTATCCAGTTTGACTTCACTTGACTCCCAAGACTTGTCCAGGAATCAGTTTTAGTCATGTCTAAGTATCAAATTTATTCTCAAAGGATGATGTTTTGCTATCATTAAGAGCGTTCAGAAGGATATATCACAGCTCCAAAAACAGTTTCTGAGCTCCTTGAGGGCAGAGGGGTTGCATTCATTTCTGTATATCCAGTACCAGTCCTGGTGCAGGGTGGGCGCTCAGTGAGCTGTAGAAACACTGAAAAACACATTAAAGAACAGCTACTACTACTCATTGGGCCTTAGCATTTTATGCCTTTTCCAGGACATACGTAGCTCCATAAGAGACAAATGATAGCTTGGGCTTATTACATTTAAAAAGAATTTTTCACTTTATTCAAAATTTACAGTAGGATTTCTTTCTTTCTTTTTTTTTTTTTTTATGCGGTACGTGGGCCTCTCACCGCTGTGGCCTCTCCCGTTGCGGAGCACAGGCTCCGGCCGCACAGGCCCAGCAGCCATGGCTCACGGGCCCAGCCGCTCCGTGGCACGTGGGATCCTCCTGGACCGGGGCACGAACCCGCGTCCCCTGCATCAGCCACCAGGGAAGCCCGTACAGTAGGATTTCTTAAACTGCTAAGTGCCTGTACATATGAAATAATTCAGTTTGCAAATTTCAGCATATATAGCTTTTCCAGAAAATATCTATGGTATAAAGGTGTACATTTCTTCTCTCTTACAGTTTAAAGTTTGGGGGGTACCTTATTTAATTTTCTGACTTAAAAACAATTACTAAATGTGCTGGGTAATGATTATAAAGAGGAAATGAGTTGTTGGGATCATACCGTTGGCAGAAGAGGTGCTGGGCCTAGAGCCCCTGTGCTCCGGCCTCCCAAAGCCAGCATGCGCGTCTCCCCCACAGTTGGATCGGTCGACCCGGGAGGTGGAGCTGGGCCTTGACTATGGAACGCCCACCATGAACCTGGCCGGGCAGAGCCTGAAGTTTGAAAACGGCCAGTGGATAGCAGGTGGGCTGCATTTCCTACCATTTTGCCCAGCAGGATGGTGGAAGGAACCTCCCCTTGTGACTGCTGCTTGTGTCCTTCCACCAGAGACAGGGGTTAGTGGAGGTGTGGACCGGAGGGAGGCCCAGCGCCTCCGGAGGCGGAACCAGCAGCTGGAGGAAGAGAACAATCTCTTGCGGCTGAAGGTGGACATCCTGCTGGACATGGTGAGGAGGGTGGTGGGGAGGGAAGCCTTGGCTTTCCTTGGGCAGGTCCACTGCAAGTCCTTTCAGCCAGCCCACACCTCTCGAGTGGCAGTTTGCTCAGGTACATTGCTGTGAATCCAAAGATATAAAACCAAATCAGACACAGTCCCCACCCCCCAGTCTAGTGGGGAGATAGACAGTAAACATAGTGACAGTGCTTCATGGTAAGGGCAGTGATTAAAGTCTGTCCACGGCCTGGCATCCACACATGGGAGAGAGATTCATTCTGTCCAGTCGGGAGGATGTTGCAGGGGAAGGGATATTTGAGCTGAATGTGGAAAGATAAAGGTGGGAATGGAGGCTGGGCTGAAGGGAAGAAGGACAGCCTGCTCCTGGCTGGGCGAGGCCCTGTCCCACGCAGCCATTAGTCAGTGCCCTGCGCAGACCTGCCGAGGGGCACTCCCTGCGTTGGCATCTGTTTCCTGTGGCTTTTAAAAACCCAACAACCTGTTGAGCCTAGGGCTGTGTGTGACGGTTGGTTGAGAGGCAGCAGAGCACACACTGCAGTGGTTAAGAGCAGGTGTCTAGAGCTAAACTGCCCAGGTCCCTGGCCCAGCTCCACCACTGGCTGTGTGACTTCAGGCAAGTTACTTAACTGCTCTGTATCTGTAAGAAACATGGTATCTTCAGCAATAAAATGGGCACCATAGTAGGATCTACCTCATTAGTGAGTTAATAATATAAGCAAAGCTCTTGGAATAGTGTCTTGCTCAGGAACTGCAGCTCTTCTGTTTCACAGTAAGCTGACCTCTGGAGTTTGTATCTCTCTATCCCTGCCTGGAGTGTCTTCCACCCTCTCCTCTAAAGACCACTGAAGGATTCTGATGCTGGAAGTGGCATGCTTTTTTAAACATTTTTATGTGAGCCACGACTCAGAAGCACCTTAGACCTTAGTCCTTTAACCTTAAAATCACCAATATTTGCCTTTTTCATCCCCTGGAACCCGGTGTCCTTCGCGCAGTGAGTGCCATGCGATCCTAGGTGATCAAAAATGTTGATAGAATGGATGGTGAATGTTCTTCAAGTGCTTGAGGCCCTGGGTCATCAGGAGGTTACTTTCCGCCCAGTTACCAAGGGGTTCCCGTCGTGGAGGCTGCCGGCAGCGTTAAGGGAAATGCCGTGGGGCTTCTCCCAGCGCGCAGCGCTGGCCTTGCCAACCTGAAACGTAGCCCAGAAACGTCCTTCTTTATAACGGTTTGCTGCTCTACTTCCAGCTCTCTGAGACCACTGCCGAATCCCACTTAATGGAGAAGGAGCTGGATGAACTGAAGAGTGTCAGCCGGCGGAGAAAATGAAGACCCCAAAGCCACCCGTTAGGCGCACAGGGGGAAACCCATTCGTCAGAAGAGGAGGATGTGGCTGAGGGAATTTTTAACCAAACTAGTGGATTAGGTCCTGGGAGAGAGTATCATATAATGGAGCCAAAAGGCACTGGCCCCCTTAGGTTGGCAGTAGGAAGGTGACAATGTGGTGGATTCCAGGCCAGTCCTGTGCTTCACAGCACAGGGAGACCTCCTCAGGGAGGTCTGGGGTGACGGAGGCCTTTGGGTGTTCTCCAGTTACTTAACACACAAACGCCCATGGCCCAGGCTCAAGCCTGTTGGACGGAGTTCATCGTATCATCCCCTCACACTGTTGTGTGTGGTGTGGCATCAGGTGTACAGAGCCTTGTTGTTAGAGGTCTCAGATAAGAAGGTCTCCTGGTTCTCTGCCCTTCAGGCCACTCCATCCTTTAAAGAACACTCGTTCCCCAAATCCACAGCCTCCTCTGGCTCCAGCTTCTCAGCGGCAAGCACCGACCTCCCATGGCAACACTATATTTTTGTGCTACTTTCCTGTTTACCCTACTTTTTTAAATTAAATGATGTTCTATAATCTCTCTCTGGCCAAAGTGACTGAAAAAAGAAACATCAGTTCTTGAAGAAGTAAGTAATGGAGGCTGGGTTCTAAGCTTCCGATGCTCCATCCAAAGACAGAACTTTTAGGTTGTGGGGGAAGGTCACCGTTGCAGAAGAAGCGTTCCAGCTTCCTGGGCGTCGGCAGAGGCTGATCTGGAACAGAGCAGTCTCTCTGCTCAAATTCCCCTGCCTTCCTCTTTCGGGGTGCTGGAACTAGCCTGGGCCGGGCAGGGACCGAGTGGTTGGGAAGGGGGCCTGGTTTCCTGGAGTGGGAATCTGTGTCTTCGAGTGGGCTGGACTTCTCTGGCTGGGGGAGGGAGCCAGCCAAATGCAGTAAGAGGGAGTCGAGCTTCCAAAGTCAAGGGGGAAGGCACTGAGGCTGGGGACACAGAGCCCCAGGCTTTAGACCAGGGATGGCTACTAAGGTCAGAACACCTGTTTCCCACCTGGACGGGGCTCAGGATGTTGTTCACACTCTCATTTCCTCCTCAGCTCGGCCCTGTGGAGCAGGGCCTCTCAGTCAGCACGCCTATTGGCAGATAAGGAAGCAAACCCCAGGAGGTTCAGAAACTGGTCTAGGATCAGACAGCAGAAGTGTGGGAGCCTGCTGATTCCCAGCCCACATTGAAAGAGGGGAGCTGGGTGGGGGGCTGCCTCAAATGGAGGCTGCTGTGCGTAGGCCACCCTCAGGGCCAGCTCCATGGGGGATGGATAGAGAAGCATGATCTGTAGCCCCAGCCCATAACCTTCCTTCCTGATAATAGGAGAGACTAAGTCAGAAGACATTGGAAAAGGATGTTACATGTGGGTGTAAATCTTCAGGTGCAGATAATAGGCGCAATTGAGAGTTTGCTTATTCCTAGACCAGTATCATTAGCAACCATTTACCCTGCACCCTGGATACCAGACATCTATAGACAGTCCCCCTGACTTATGATGGTTCAACTTAAAATTTTTCGACTTCATGGTGGTACAAAAGTGATACACATTTAGTATAAACTGTACTTTGAATTTTGAATTTTGATAGTTTTCCGGGCCAGCAAAATGCAATACGATGCTCGTGATGCGAGGCAGTTGCAGTGAGCTGCAGCTCCCCATCAGCACGCAGTCACGAGGATAAACAATCAACACACTTAAAACCAGTCTGGACCCAGACAACCACTCTGTTTTTCATTTTCATTTCAGTACAGAATCCGAAAAATTACATGAGATATTCAACACTTTTTGTAAAATAGGCTTTGTGTTAGATGATTTTGCCCACCTGTAGGCTAATGTAAGTGTTCTGAGCACATGTAAGTTGGCTAAGCTACGATGTCTGGTAGGTTAGGGGTATTACATGCATTTTCGACTTATATTTTCAACTTATGATGGGTTTATTGGGACATAAACCAAAGAAGGGCTATATTTCTAATTCTCATGAGAATTTTTCAAGTTTGTTATCTTCATCCCCTGCTTTTAGATGAAGAAACAAGCCCAGCAAGGTGATACAGCTGGGAGGGAAGGAGCTAGGACTGAAACCTTTGGAGTCAGGAGGGGCACGTTTGGTTGTCATAGTGACGTGGTTCCTGGTCCCCTCTGTACCACCACTGGCACCTGAGGGGGCTGCAGCCATGTGGGACAGCTCTGCAGTGAAGGAGGACTTGTATTTGGGGTGATGAAGGAAGCAAACCATTGGTGAGTTTCAGCACAGGAATGCTATGATTGACTTAAAGAAAAAGATCCCTCTGGCTTCTGTGTGGTCAGAACAGACTGAAGAGCTCAAGGCTGGGACCAGGGAAGCGGCAGCAGAGAGGTGAAGTGGTCAAATTCTAGGCAGGAATTGAAGGTGGAGCCCACCGTCAAATTGTAAGTTTGCTGATGGATGTGGTGTGTGAGCTGAGTCAAGGATAATCCTATTAATGAAAATTTGTAAGAAACAGGAAAAAGAATCAGCTATATGTCACCACCCTAACCTTTGTTGGTTTATTCCGCCGCCCCCCCCCCC